TATGTAGTTCCAGGTGACTTGAAATAGGCAGTTGCAGGGGTCATTTCCTGTAGGAGCGCACAGGAGCAGAGCTCCGGCAGTAAAGAGCCCAGGGGGCGGGCACATGCAACAAGCCCTGCCCCCTGCTCCCAGCAGCCCAGGCCACAAGGAGCAAGAAGCAGACCCCCCGATAGCAATCTAAAACAGTCCAGTGGCACCTTTAAGGCCAAGGTTTATTCAGGTACAAGCTCTCCCTCCTCTGTGAGGGCAGATCTGCGTGTGTCTCCCGATACCTAGCAATCCAAAAGAGTCCAATGGAGCCTCAGTGGTTGGTGTTGCCTTCTGACACACTTCCAGTGATGTCAGGGGGTGTGGCATATGCAAATAAGTTATGCTAATGAGCTCCTGCACCTCTTTTTCTACGAAATGACCCCTGGGCAGTTGTAAGATCTTTCTTGAAGAAGGCATCCCTGGATGCCGCTGACCTAAACAGTTTCTACCTGGTGGCCAACATTTCTTTTTGAGCAAGGTGCTCAAGGTGATAGCTATGCTGCTTCAGGTAGTCTTGGAGGAGATAGATTATCTAGACCCATTTTAATCTAGATTGAAGCCTGGGTGTGGAACAGAAATAGCTCAACTGTCCTCAACAAGGGCAAGAGTTTTTTCTATGGTGGCGCCTGCCTGGTGGAACTTTCTGCCAGATGACATCCAGACCCTGCAGGATCTTTCTAGGTTCCATAGGGCCTGGAGAATGGAGTTGTTCTGCTGTGCTTTCCATTGAGGATGGCTGTTACCACTGTGATCTAAGGGGATTCCAAGTAGGGTGACCCCAGAGCGCACATACCCTGCTCATCTGTCTGAGCAACACCACTCAGCTGCTGGGGTATTTCTAGGCATATGATCAAACTTGAGGACCCAGGTAAGGTAAAACAACTGGTTTGTTAAAATGAGGCAACAATTAAACAGATGTGAATGGGTAGAAGGTTCACTGCCTTGAGCCGGTTTTCTGGCAAGATGGGATACAAATTGAATAAATAAATAAAACTGGGCATGCTCCCAGCAAGCAGAGCCAACCCAAAGGAGCTAGCACGAAAACAGTAAAACCTCCCTAACATGGCTACCTTATTCATTCACAGCTGTGCTTCCATACCTGGTCCTTCCAGGGTAATCCCACCCTCCTTGGGTGAAGGCTCCTCTCTTGCAGAAAGCAGCCTCTCTGCCCCCCAGCTCTCCTTGGGAGAGCCTTATATTAACTTTCTCTCTCTCTTTTTTTTGTAAATATTTTGTGTTTGTGTGTGTGTATGTGCTTGTGAGCCTGGAAGTAATAGTGACTTCTGGCAACCCCTGGTGGGGCTAAGATGTTTTCAGAGAGGTGGCTTGATAACCTTCCTCTGCGTCCCCAGTCCTGGTATTCCTTGAAGGTCGCCCTTCCAAGTACTTGCCAGGGTCGGCCCTGCTTAGTTTCCAAGATCTGACAAGATCGGGTTTGCCTGGGCTATCCAGGTTAGGGCATATTAACTTTCTCAAGGCCTTCCCTCTTCTGCAACCATTAGCCTACCTTTTCCCTCTAATTTCACCAGGCCCAATCCTGGGCTGGGAGAATACCTGGGAAATATAGGATAGTTTTCTATAGGGAAAATGTACAGGATGCCCAGCCCTTAGTCCTGGAGAGAGGCTTCTCTGAGGCCTGCAGGCCATTCCAGAAACTAGCCTGAAGTCCGGGGGTGGGGCAGCATATAAACATTGACATGGGGACCCAGATTCATGAGAGTACTATGCAGGAGTGCCTTTGAAGACTGTTCAGAGACTTCAAGTGGTTGGAATGTGGCAACCAGGCTTTTGTCAGTGCAGGATCCAGCGATCGTATCATTCTAGTGCTGAAAGATCTGCACTGGCTACCCATCTGCGCCTGGGCCCAATTCCAAGTGCTGGTTCTTACCTTTAAAGTTCTAAAGTTCGCCTTGAAGAACCACCTGCTCCTATATTGTCCAGTTAAGATTTCCCTCTCAAGCCCTGCTCAGAGATGAGGCATGCATCAACAAGAGACAGGGCTTTTTCAGTAGTTTCACTTTGCCTATGGAATGCACTTCCCCTTGAGGCTCATGTGACACCTACAGTGCTCTCTTTGAGGAGCCAGGGCAAGACTTTTATGCAGGGGTAGTTTTGTAGAAAAAGAGCTAGGGGAACTCATTAGCATAACTCATTAGCATATGCCACACCCCGTGACATCAGGGGCCCGGCGGTGGACCTGCAAGGCCGGCGGGAGTGTAAGGAAGCCCCGCCAAGGCCCTTCCTGGCCCCAGGCAGGCAGGGGTGGGGAGAGGCGGGGAGGAAGCAACTTACCCTCCCTCTTCTCCTGCCTCCTCCTGGCTGAATGAGGGCCAGAAGCAGGGCGGCCGGAAGCAAGGGGCGGGGCTTTGTCGTATGCCCCGTCCCCCGCACCTCACCCGGGGGAACTGCGATCCCCCCCCAAATTGACCTCTGCTTTTATGTTTATCCAGGCTTTTTAATTAAGGGTTGATCTTTTTAAAACATTTTATACTGTGCTTTTAGCCTGAAAAGTATTATTCTTTTTAAGCTGCTCAGCTGTTTATATTGTATGCTTTAACAGGGTTTTTAATGCTGGAATTTAAATCACCTTTTAATGCTTTATGTTTTTATTACATTTTATTTCGTAACGTGCTTTGGGCAGGCTCCCCTAGACAGGTGGCATAAAAATGTTCTCAATAAATAAGTCTGACATTTGCAAAATGCTGTCTTCTGAACTACTCTTGGGGGCAACAGGGGCCCTCTTAATAGTCTGAACCTTGAAATTATCAAACACCAACAAGGCAAATGGGGCAGCTAGGGTTGAAGGCTTTCACATGTTGATTTAAACAAAACAGCCATATTTGTGGCTAAAGGTCTTTAACTGTAGAAACACTGCTGGGTGGAGGGGCTGCTGCTGCTAGGTTGGTTCTGCTTTGAGATGAGTAGGCAAGATTGTACCAGAGATCATTAAAACAATCACAGCTGATCCTTTTCTCTCTCTCTGTCCCCACTTGGTTCCCTCCATAGCACATTGCAATGATTTTTTTTCTTTTCTTTTTTCTTAGTTCTTGCTTTTACTGGTGATGGCAATTATATTGATGTGGGCTATAGGATATGTTGTGGATTTAAATTCTGATTCTTGGCTTTTGAAAGGAAGCTTGCTGCTCTTCATATGTGTTATCATCTCCTTATTTGCAAGGTATGTAGCTCTACCATTCACATTAATGTTAAATCTGTATTGTAGAAAGGATGGTGTGGTATACACCATTGGATGGTGTGGTATACACCAGTATACATTAATGTTAAATCTGTATTGTAGAAAGTGGCTATTCAAACTACTGGTGTGGTATACAGCATTGGAGGATTGGCACAATCCAAATAAAGTTGGACATAACCAATGCTCCCTCCAAGCTGTGGAGTCTTGTGAGCAAAAATCCTACTTTGTGAGCTACTGGCATTAACGTTGTGAGTGAGCAATTTGGCTACTGCATAAATTAGTTTGCAGTGACTGTACAGTAGGGATGGGCATTAACCACCCATTCATGAACCAATCTAGTTTGTTCCATTTGTGGTCCTGCAAACCCATTTGAAAGGGATCTCAATCCCTTTAAATGGGGTTTGCAGATAGCCCAAAAAAACAGCTGAGCCAATCAGCTATTTCTGGATGTCTTTTACAGCCCCTTTAAAGTTTAAAAGGACTGAAGAAGACAGCACCAAACAGCTGATGGGCGTGAAGTGCCTCCCTGCCCATGAGTTGTTTGGGGCGCAGCTCTTTCAGGCTGTCTTCTGCAGTTTAAAGTAACTGCAGAAGACACTGTGAAAAGATCTGTGCAGCTGAGAGCACCTCCCTGCCCCGCAGCTCTTTTCGGCTATCTTCTTCAGCACCTTTAAACTTCAAAAGGATTGCAGAAGACAGCACAAAAAACCTGATCTGTGGAGAGCACCTTACCGCCATTCAGCTGTTTTTGAGGCTTTCATGCGGGAGCAGAAAGGGAAAGCAGTCCCTTTAAACCCTATTTTTCTGCCCCATGCACAAACCATGAACAGCATGAACCTCCTCTGAAAGTTCGTGGAAGTTCATGATGGCAGACATGTCACAAACTTCTTTTCAGGAACCACAAACAGGGCAAAATTTGTCACAAATTTTGCTTTGTGGTTCGGTTTGTGCCCATCCCTATTGTATAGCCAGTGCACATAATCTGGGAAGCCAAAATTTAGCATTTAGCATGTACCTAAACTGAATTATGTAAATGCAGGATTGTTAAAAGTAGCATGTTGTATTTCTTGCATTTCCAATACTGAAGTGATTGCTGTATAAGAAGATTGTAATGTGTGAATTAGTTTAATTGTTCTTTCAGTTCTGCCCTCAACCTACTTTATGAAGAGAACACAATAATCTCAGGAAGCCATTCCATTAAATGATTATTTGGATTGTATTTCAGATGCTGTAATGAAATGTCTTCTAAATTTCCATTTCAGGCAGTTTATAGGGTTCAACAAACTGAAATATTTTCCAGTAGCATTTTTGCTTGGTTCCATCTTCTGGATTTCTGTGACCTGTTTCATCTGGTTCCTACCTAATATCCTTTATTGTTATATGTTATAAACAGGTCTTGTTCTTGTATATATGAACATCCTTCATTGTCCATGGAAAGCTTATTCACTTCTCTATATGAGTTTAAAGTAAACTAATAGGTTGCAGCATTAAGCATTAAAGTAGAAGTATGTTTTACAGGCAACGTTTCTGTATGTTTCTCTGCATTTGGCACAGAACTGCTAGTTTGCTGCAAAGCAAATTTGCATGAGTCTCGCCTACAAGTGTTATATTTGCTGCCTTGTATCTCCTTTGTTACTACACCGAGAGCTTTATTTTTCAGATAGTAAAACACTTCTAAAAATAAAACGTAACAGTGGAGACATTTGTAAGTACTGTTTCAACCCAGCTTTAATCTATTTCAGGGCTAAATAATATTTCAGTGTATATTACGTCATGCTTGAAGTGGTATTTTCTTTTATGCATGTTGTCTAATGAGATCTCATTAATACAGCTATCTGAATTAATTCCTGTGAACTGTTGGGGTATATCCAAGCATAATTTGCCTGGCTCCCAAGAATCACATTTGATACTATAGCTGCCTGACTGAGACTTCAGTTTACAAAATGTATTTTAAATGATGCCATTGTAGACCTACGTTTCAGGCATTAAACCACCTTTTGCAAAAATGCAGTTTCCACACATGGAATCTGTATGAGTTCCTACCCACACTTTTCCTGTGGTTTTCATGGCTGCGCAGGGATATGGAGTAAATGAGAGGAAAGGTTCCCATTATATATTCTTTTCACCCCTACTAGAGCTGAACACTGCATGACTGATCACAAAATAGTATACTTAGACAAAAGCAAATCCCATCATTCAGTGATACTTTCAATAATATTGCCATGCACTTTAACTTTTGCCTAATTCTTCATCACATATGACATAACTATGTAGCATATATATTGATGGGAAGAGGAGATTTTTCTTCATGATCAAATGAGTAGTGAAAGGTGTTTATCTGAACCTTATAGATATGAAGAATCTGACTCAAAAGGGAGAAGATGAATCTTGTGAATTTTATCAGTTATTTCAGTGATAAGTTACTTCACTCTGTGTGTAAAGCCTTAGAAATAGTTTGGTGCTTCTTAAATTGCCATGAAATAATTGCAGGTTAACTTTTTTATTATTAATAATTTTTAATGTTTTTTTAACAAGACAAAACAAACAAAACCACAAATTGCAGAATACAAACACACACAGGTTTCCATCCCACAATCGTTCATCTTATTTGGAGTTTCTTCTCCTATTTCTTTGCACCTAACATTATTACATGAATTAATCTTATTATAATCAAGATTCAATACAGTTCTCAATCCATTTGTAGAATCTTGACCAAACCTCTTTAAATATGTTATCTCTTCTTCTTTACAGTAATATAGTTAATTTGTCAATTTCAGCTGTTTCCATTAATTTGTAGATCATATCTTCTTTAGATACTATGTCTTCTTTTTTCCACATGCTGGCATATAGAATTCTGGCTGCTGTTACAATGTAGGTAATCATATAACAATCTAACTTTTTTAATTGGGCTGTTGCCACAAAAAAAAAATTTGGACTGGTTGCTATGACTAGAAATTTAGTAATTGACTTGCTCCTAATCAAGTATTTGCAATGGAACTGAAAGTAAGTCTAACAACTATTCTAGTTAACAATTACAACAAAACTATTCCATTCAGCTTCATGTCTTTTTCCACTCATAATTATGCTTTTTTCAGGAGAATTTGACTAAGAAGAAAACAAATAAGAAGCTATACTGTTTTTAAAAAGAAACTAAGCTGAATCAAGAGGTTGACATCTTCCAACTTTATAAGACTTCCTACTCATGAGGAAGATTAGTGAAATGAGTGTAAAAACCGGTGTGCTCATCGAGGATATGATTATGTTGGACTTTGCTTTGCCTGTGTCTGAATTATCTAACCATATTTTAAGATTAATAGCTTCACAAATTGATGCTCATAGAATTATTAAGTGTGTCATTGTTAATTTTACCACAGTGGTTTTTGGTATCTGCACACTGTGAGCCCTACTCTGGCTTTTTTGAGCCTCCAGGTGGGGCCTGGAGATCTCCTGCTTTCACAACTGATCTCCAGACGACAGAGATCAGCTCCCCTGGAGAAAATGGCTGCTTTGGAGGATGGACTCAATGGCATTGTAGCCTGCTGGGGTCCCTCCCCTCCCCAAACCCTGCCCTCTCCAGGCTGCACTACCCAAATCTCCAGGTATTTCTCAACTCAGAGCTGGCAACCCTACACCTAGCCTTTGGAAATCCTTCCCATTGTCACTCATCTGGTGCTGCGCTTACTTTCCGTTGGGTCTCAGGCCAAAATAGTCCTCTTTACTCAAGCTTTAACCAACAGGTTCCTTCCAACTCTTTTACTGTTTATGGCCTGCTCATAGCCTGAGGACTTCTCTTAATATACTTTTTGACTTTCTACTTGTCTTATGTGCTTTTATGCACCATCTTATTTTTATTGACTTACCTTGGTTCTATCGTTGTTGTTCAGTCGCATAGTCGAGTCCAACTCTTCACAACCCCATGGACCACATCACACCAGGCCCTCTTGTCCTCTGTCGTCCTCTGGAGTTTGCTGAACTTCATGTTCGTTGCATCTGGTTTTATTGACCTTTATTTATTTTAGTAGCTTATTTTACTGGCATGATTTTTTAAATCCTTTTTATTTTTTTAGGTTGGTTTTGTTTTATTGTCCTAATTGTGAGCTTTCTCAAGCAGGTGTGGATAGGAAGCATGCACATTTTCTGAAAAAATGTTTACTTGCAGCAATATGTGAATATGAAAACTTATTCCTTAACTGGAGATCACATTTTTCAGGCGCAGTTTCTCAGCTTCCTTTTTTTTCTGGTGTGGTGGGGCTTCTCTATTATTTCTACAAAATATTCAGAACTGATCCTGGATATATTAAGACTACAGAAGAAGAGAGAAAAAAGGTATTTTGGTTCAAAAAGGACTTCTGCCATGTTTTCGCTGTAATTTTTGTTTGAGTTGAGGACGGCTGACAGTGACCAATTCTGAGGATATTGGTGATAATTTCAGTTTAATAATTAACAATATCATTAAATGTTTGCTTGTTACCGAAACCTGGGAAAGGTATTGAGAGAGTAGCAAGGAACAGTCATCACTACAAGAAAATGAGGATTTGTTCCTTGTGACTGTCACTTAATAAGGTCAAGTTAGAGGGTCTAGGGGCATCACCTACTGAAGGAAGTGAAAACAAAGTACAAAAAGGTATATCAAAAGTAGGGGTGTATTGTAAACTGCAAATTGAAAACACTACCTCAACCCACAATATAAAAGAAGTATAATAAGCATACCATTATGAATGGTATTCCATGTATCACTAACCTGGTGTGTATAAATATGCATAAAAATTGATAGTATAAATGTGTGAATACATCAGAAAGGAGTTAAAACACATAACAAACAGATTCAACAGATTGTCAG